TTTTTACCTTTAAATGCATATGAATGTTTTCAGATTTTTATATACTTATAACAGTGTTAAATACCCAATCTTGTCTTATGTTTTCTCAGATTTTTTGGAATTCCAATGAAAATTCTTCCAAATGTCCGAAGTTCTTCTGAGATTTATGGCTTAATGGTAAATATACATTTTTGTTTTAAAAAACTTTATTATTCATAATTTAAAAGTCAACTGTTACACTTAATAGTTTGAGAGTTGTGACTTCATAAATGTTGGTAATATGTAAAGTAATAATTTAGTATTTAAATAGTTTTATAACTTAAAAATGGTAGAGTCCTTACCAATTCATTTCACAGTTTATAAACTTGAATTGGCTTTTCTTTGAATATTATGCTTTTGAATTATTACTGGGATAATCTAACTACTGAAGGTGGCATGGGAATATTTTGAGCCATTTTATTATCCACATAATTGTTTAGTAGTTGCTGTGTCTGCTTCTAATTCATAAGAAGGTCTCATCACATTTTAGTGGTGTTCTTTTTTCTGTTGATTCTCTCTTTTTCATTTATTTTTTTCATTTAAATATAGTGGATATGCAATCTCTTTTACTGGCCAAACCGTGTTTTAGATTACTTCCTTTGTTAGCCTGAGCAAAATTTTAGCAAAGAAACTGAAAGCAAAGAGTCTGCTTCTGATATGTGGTTGCTAATTAAACTGGGCTCCATAATGGATGTTTTTACCATTGCTTTCATGGAAACTCAGAGAAAAAGCAGTTTCAGCAAAACATGTGCTTAGCACCATTGAGTGTCTCTGATTGCACATCAGGGATGAAAAGCTCAAGGAGGGTTTGACCTGATGTTTAAACACCCAAACCTGGAATTTATGATAAAACTTCAGATCACAAAAAATATAGGCATTTCATGGCAAATATTAGAAACTCTATGTATAGAGTTAATAATAATGGAGTTAAACACTACTGGCTCTGAATAAATCTGGATCAAGAATTCTTGAATGTTTCATTCATAATAAAGCCTTTTAAGGCAGCCTGGAGCTTTTTAAGAGATAGGTAACTGCTTATCTACAGGTAAAGTGCTCTGATGAGTTTATCGCTGTCTGCAGACTGACCTGAGTGAGAGAAATAAAACAATTCTTGAGAAACCATTTCAGAGGATGGTTGAAAAAGCATTTAACTGGCCTAGTTTTCTCTTGCATTTCAAACATTATGCTTCTGTCCCCCTTTTTCCCCCTTGCTGACTATAGAAAATCTCTCATAGCCTGGTGAGTAGGTTGCCCACCAATTATTCTACCCATTCACTCGGAAAAGATACAGTGCATTTCCATTTAGTTTGAAACAAGCAGAAGTCCATTTACCAAACAGACTGATCCAGAATCATGGCTCTTCAAATTATTATAAGCTCTAGTGAAGCTGTAGGTTTTGTTTAAATTTCATCTTATTTGTTTTTAACTTTTCCATAAGACTGAGAGCAGTGTTTCAACATAAAAGTCTGTGGTAGTTTCCTGGCATGAGAAATTCTGATGTCCCCATTACAAAGTACATTTGTGATGTGCTTTGGACTTTAGCATAACAGGGAAATTAGATAGAGTTTTTTAATGTCCTAAACATCTACTTTGGCCAACCTTTCAGACCAGTTAGTTGGAAATGCACTGTCACTTTTTCTGCATGCTTCACCGGAGGATGTTCCCAAGACTCTTCCAGAGACCCCTCCCTGTGACAAAAAAGGAACGTTTTCCATGCCTGATCTCACATACTAGATCCTGCTGGTAGTTGGAAAATAACATCAATAGTATAAACAAAGACTTCTTTTAGTACTTAAATAGACGGAGCTGGACAGCCTCTACGTTTCCTTTTGTGACATTTATTTTTCACTTAATATCCAGGTTCAGGTTTGCTAAGCATATATACAGAAAATAAAAATAGCAGGTCTTGAATGAATGAGAAAGCATGAAAGAAAGAAAATAATATCCACTATCTGAGGGTGTTTTCTATTCTGTAAAGGGTTTCCATGTGTATGCTATTATTTCCTTATCATCAGAGCTATGTGAGGTGGCTTCTATTCTTACCCTCACTCTAACAGATAGGAGGCCCCAAGCTCCCAGCGACCAGGAGACCTGCCCACAAATGACAAGCTGAGGGGTGGGTGCTTTTATTTGGTGCACTTCCTAGGACATCACACCTACCTCAGGGATCATATTCCTTTCCCTTAGGACAAATTGCTTTGTGTGTTTCTTTAAAAAAAAAGTTTGTTGAAGTTCACAGTCAGCCACTTATATCTTATTTTTCTTCCTAGAATGCTGGCCGTACTTGATCAAAATAAAAACCACTACTCAGGACACAGATTAGCTCTTTGCTTATCTAAACTTGAAGAAAGATGTTAGCTATGAACAAATAGTACCCAATACCTGAACACTGTCGTGTTTCTCATCTTAAGAGCAGTTTGGGTAGGAAGAATAGTTGGTAAAATGCAGCCTTCCAAAATAAGTAAGTGCCATGCTGACATGATAGCTATTTATATATGTTCATTTTAAAGAATGTGTTGATGTCTTCTTAGTAATGACGATAATGGCAAAGAGCTAATGACTTCGGCATTCATGTAGCCCAGGCTCCGTTTTGTAGATCAATAAATCGAGGTGCAGAGAAGTTTCAGCAGCCTGCTCAGTGGCTTAATACTAACTAACCAGGAGTAGAGCCCATGTCTCCTGACTCTCAGCCCAGTGTTTCATGTCCATTCTCCAATGCCATGTCTCTTCTCGTTACTTTAGGAGTACTTCTAATATCTGTCTTTAAACCACTCATGTAGTCGAAACACTTGCTTTGTCTTGTCTGCCCCACATGCTCTGGCATGTCGCTATTCATGTTCGTTCCTATTGCAATTATGTTAATAGAGCCAACAGATTCTGATTATTCATAATCCTTTTTAAATTTGTATTAGAAAGCTGGCTCCTTGGAAGGTGTGCCAATATCTGGGGTAAGTTTCATCACCTAACATCTCCCTGCTACCTCCCCACCCTCGCCCCTTGCATGTTAAGGCTTTCTTCCTTTGTCTTAATTAATCTGCTCCTACTGGAAAAGAAGTAAGAGCAGGAAAATTGACTAATTCTTGTCCCTGCATGGGTTGAGAATCTTTTAAATAAAGTAATTCTAGAACTCCCACTCCCTTCCCATACCTATTATGTCATAGGGGTATTAACAAATAGGAAAATGGTCAGATGGAGGCAATGTAAAAAAAACACACACACATAAATCAATTCATTCCTTGATATATAGAAAACAAAAAGAAAATCCTATGGCTCTTGTAAGAAGGAAATCAGTAATGTTGTCTTAGTGTCCTATATTGCCATTTACTTGCAGTGTTTGGGGGACCAGTCTGCTGCGTTGGTGGGACAAATGTGTTTCCGAGATGGACAAGCCAAAAATACGTGAGTTTAAGAAACAGACCTTAGAACTAATGGTGTTTTGTTTGTTTTCCCTTTGGTGCTTTAAATGAGGAAAAGCTTTATCTCCATCAAATAAAATGCACTATGCCTTGTGTAGACACATTGATGAGGTTTGTGAAGACCTTAATCTATAAAATTCATTGCCTTTTCTGTCCAGAAACTAAATTTTGGTTTATAGTATTCATACCTTTTGCGGGGAGGTTGGCAGGGAGGGCTGAGCAGAGAGGAGGAAGAGCCATGTTTAAAACGACAATATTCAATGTGCTCCTGCCCTAGATGTTCTCACTGTAACTCGAAAGTCATAGTTTTGTGGATTTTTGGTGCTATTCTCCTGGCACTGCATTCTCTCCAGAATCTGGAGTTTCTCCTTAGACAAGAAGCAGAAGGAACGATAGAAGTGGAGATTTGGTGCATTTTTCTCCTAACCTCATCTCTTAACTACTCACACAGATGGAGTCTAACAAGCCCCATATGTAAGAGCAATAAGGTTGCTCCCACTTTAGAATGAAAAAACAGATGCTCGGAGAGGTTAGGCTAGTAAGTGGCAGAAGCCATCTTTCTACCCAGATCCATCTGATTCGAGTTAGCCAGGCTCTTAACCTCTGCACTTGACTGTCCCCCTGTGTGGTGAAGATTTCCATAGGCCTGGCAAAAGACTGTCTACATATAATTGTTCTTTGCTTGAGAATTTCCTAAATCCCTCATCAATGTTTAACTTCACTATTAAGTTTTGTGACTGATGGAATGTCTAATTTTTTTTTTGAGATTTCATTTATTTATTTTCACAGGGAAGGGAAGAAAGGGAGAAAGAGGGAGAAAAACATCAATGTGGGATTTGTCGACTGGCTGCCTCCCGCACACCCCCTACTGGGGACCTGGCCTATAACCCAGGCATGTGCTCTGACTGGGAATTGAATTGACAACCTTAAAGTTTGCAGGCCATCACTCCATCCACTGAGCCACACCAGCCAGGGTGGAATGTCTAACATTTTAGATTAAATGTTCTTGTAGTCTAGCAGGGTCAGCAGTCCCGGTGTGAGAGAGAGTTTTAGGGGTAGAGGGGAGATAATGAAAATTCTTTGCAGATCATGGTATCCTGAGGTTACTGGGAACAAGAGAGTTTGAGTCAGCATGGGTCTGGAAACATATTCTTTAAAGTCTGGGTTTCAGCCAGCTGAATCTCAAGAGTCAAGAGAAATGATAGAAAACTGGGCTCTTTTCTTTACTTCTCCCACCCCACCCCCACCCCCAGACAAAAACATGTTTGTTCCTTTTTGGTGGTCACGTTAATGCTAGTAAAGTGGATGCTATCTCTATTTGTCAAGTACTTAACACAGTACCCAATAAAAATTGCCTGGTTTTCCTTTCTACTCCCCTCCCCCTTAAACATTATCAGCCAAGCTTTGATGGTGAATTTAAGTCAGGGAGGGCTTGTTGAGAATCTCTGCAGCCACTGCAGGTTGCAGGTGGGAAGTAGCAGATTAGAAGTTTTGGGGGGCTGCGGCAGCAGCCATGAGGCGAGGACTGGCGGGTCTCCGGCTTGGGTTCATCAGGGCTCCGGGTGGATGGCGAGACCCCATACCGGGGCCCCGGGTGGGAGAGATGAGACGGAGGCACCCCTGAGGCGACCAGTCCCAGAACTTGAGGTTGGCCACAGCACACTGGGCCCTGGCCTCCGCCTCGAGAGGATAGAGTAGGGGAACCATTCCGAGAACTTTAGGCCGCGGAAAATTCAGGCACCGGCGGCGCCGCACACGTGTTCCAGGCGACCCACTTGGGCAGAGGAAAGGTAGCAGCGCTGACTGGGTTTAGGCCCCGCACCTGGATCCAGGCCAATCTCTGCCGAGGTTTGCTCAGGCTTCAGAAGAGGCTTGCCTCCAGCATCCTCTGCTGTGGCAAAAAGAAGGTCTGGTTGGACCCCAACGAGACCAATGAAATCGCCAATGCCAACTCCCATCAGCAGATTCGGAAGCTAATCAAAGATGGGCTGATCATCCGGAAGCCTGTGACTGTCCACTCCCGGGCTCGATGCCAGAAAAACACCTTGGCCCGCAGGAAGGGCAGGCATATGGGCATAGGTAAGCGGAAGGGTACTGCCAATGCTCGAATGCCTGAGAAAGTAACCTGGGTGAGGAGGATGAGAATCCTACGCCGGGTACTCAGGAGATACCGTGAATCGAAGAAGATCGACTACCACATGTACCACAGCCTGTACCTGAAAGTGAAGGGGAATGTGTTCAAAAACAAGCGGATTCTCATGGAACACATCCACAAGCTGAAGGCGGACAAGGCTCGCAAGAAGCTCCTGGCTGATCAGGCGAGCCCCAAGGAAGCTCGCAAGCGCCGGGAAGAGAGACTCCAGGCCAAGAAGGAGGAAATCATCAAAACTCTGTCCAAGGAGGAAGAGAGCAAGAAATAGAGCTCCCCCTCTCTTACCCGTACATAGTGGCCTTGGCAATTACATGGATCGGCCGTCGAATAAAGTAGCCTCATCTGCAAAAAAAAAAAAAAAAAAAAAGCAGAAGAAGAAGAAGAAGTTTTGGGGGGCTCACATTTTTCTTCCTGAGGGGGAAGAGCACAAATATATGATAAATCAAATTATAAATGAGAACGTCAATGCTGTAAGAAACTTTGAAGTATGGCTGTTGGGTTCCAAAGGGAGGAAAGAAAACTTATCACAAAAGATCATGTTAGTTATACGATGTTTTGAGGAATGAGCAATATTGGCAAGTGCACAGAACACTGAACAAAGATGCAGATGGGGAAATGGAAGACTTTGTCTAAAGACTATAGAGAACATTCAGGTAGGGACATGGTAGAAAAATAGGTCAGGATCATATTATGAAGCCCTGAAATCTGGACCTAAAGAGTTTTTTCCCTCCCCTCCCCCCTTTCTTTTTTTTCTTTCTTTCTTTTTCTTTCACAAGAGAACAAATCCGTTTTATTTATCCACTCTTGAGTAAGTTCTGATCTTTGAGGGGTACAGCATGACACTGATTCTGTGTGCAGTGGCCTTAGTAGGAAGGTTGCTTCAGAATTTAGCAGGAACCAGCCACGGTTCCGGTTTCCATGAGCACAACTTCCTTTCCCCAGATGACACTGGTTTTGTTCACACTGCCACCATGAGTCAGTGTTGTTCCTTCCCTTGTGCACAGAAGCACCTCTTGCCCAGATGGAACTCAGTTTCATCTCAAGCACAAACACCTTCAATTCTAAGAAGAGCTATGTGCTCCCTCTGGTTCTAGAGAGACCCCACTTATACCAGCAAAAAATGGCGTCAGACCACAGCCTTCCAGACAGACGTGTTTGTCTTTATAGGGTCTTGTTCCCAGCAGGCTCCACAGGCTCCAAGATAGTGGAAAGAGCCTGAAGACTTTTTCTTAATAGGCGGTGGGGCACTTCTAAAGATTTGTGAGTTGGTGTTCAGAGATGACTGGAGCTATTTATTTAATAATACGACAATTCTAGGTCAAAGTGAGGAGAGACTAGAGGCAAAGAGGCCAGAGAGGAGGCCACTACAGTGAACTCATAACAAAGGCAAGGACTAGGAAGGATGGGGACAGGAAGGCTGCAGGTGGATGTCCGTGGCACTGCAGAGGGACAAGATATAGGAAGCATATAGAGTCCAGTCACCTGCCCTGAATAGTTAGACTTAGCGAAAATAAGGAATGGATCCAAGTAGAAGAGTTTCTGTTCGGGAAATATTTGCGATACTGGTAGGCTCTATACTGCACATATTTGGAAATGCGGAATGAGTTTAGTATAAAAGTAGAGATGTTGAATGCCCCCTATTTACAGGTGATTTTTTGAAGCAGAAGTAATAGATGAAATTACGAAGATAAAGTATACAGGTGGAGGAGATATTTAGAAGTAGGAGACACAGATGGAAAATTCGGAAAAATAGAATGTAGCTATTCATTCTCGTGGATATCCATGGTAGAGATATTCAGGAGGGAGGCTTGGTCAGCAACGCGAAAAACTACAAAAAGGTCGTTGAAGCGGAGAACGAGAACAGACCATGGTACATGGAAATTGGGTCCCATGGGACTTCCAAAGATGAAACTTTAGTTAGCATGGAAGCCAGCTTGCAAATGGTCCAATAGGTGTTGTGGGTAGGTAAACAAAATCAATAAAGACAGCCAGACAGAATATGCCTTGCAAACATGCAGCCATCCAGGAATGATAAGATCATTAACGGGATCATAACCAAGGTTGGAGAATTTCGTTTGTGTTTTTGGTCACAGCCAGAATAGAGAATGTTTCTTTGGAGTCTGAGCAGAGAACAGATGGAAGCTGTCAGATAAACGAGAGATAAGTGATAAGCAGAACAAAGTCCTAAGAGGTTGGAGAGATTGGGACTGAGAATGTAGCTAATCTCGCTGAACCTCAGCAGGGAGCTACCGATGTCAGCTGGGATGTCAGTGCAAAATCCATCTGTTTCTGGATGGAGGAACCGATGATGGGGGATGCTGATTTTTCTTCCAGTTTATCTGTATTTTCTAATTTTTTAGAATAAACATGAGTTATTTGAACATCAATTTTGCTTTAAGAAAACGAACCTAAGATAGATGCCTCCTCTTCCCAGAGGTACTAAAAGTAATAAATGGGGCCCTTTCCCGCCTTCACAGCTTTGGCCAGGGCCATCTTGGCACACTTCCCCCAGAGGGATAGCAAGCAATCTGTACCTTCACTGACATTAGAAAAGTCAGACATCTTTTGGGGATGTTTGAACACAGGATGGCTGTAAGGAAAAATAGATAGGCCATATAAATGCTAAAAGCGCTATATCTGTTGGGTGACTGGGAAGAAAGAGTAATTAAATGTAAGAGGAAAAACATTGCCTGTGTACTGCTTTGAAAGCTGTGGTCTCAATGCAGCAATAGCGTCTCTTCATATATTGCTAATGTTCATGAATTACTTATTAAGCGTACTAACCTAAGGACTCACTTTTACTAAGTGCCTTGAGTCTTCACATCACTTTTGTGCTTTAAGACTTGGGTACCACTATTCGCACAAACAGGGTTTATATGGGTGCTAAATTGATACAGATTTCTCCTCTTAAAAGTATGAAACAAATCACTAAGTTCCATTTTATGAATATTTATTAAAATGTATAACTTCACCCTGGCTGGTGTGGCTCAGTGGATTGAGTGCTGGCCTGTGAACTGGAGGGTCGCTGGTTTGGTTCCTATTCAGGGCACATGCCTGGGTTGCAGGCCAGGTCTCCAGTGCGGGGTGCATGAGAGGCAACCACACATTGATGTTTCTATCACTTCCTTCCCTTCTCTCTAGAAATAAAGAAAATCTTTTTAAAAAATGTATAACTTCAAATGCATAGCCTTTTCAGTGTTGCAGAAGTAAAAATGTATATGTGACTTGGATGTTTTCATTTGTAAATGTATTATTAACTGTACCTAATGTTACTTGACTGGTGTTTTTATTTTTTTTTTAAGATTTTATTTATTTATTTAGAGACAGGGGAAGGGAGGGAGAGAAACATCAATGTGTGGTTGTGTCTAGTGTGCCACTACTGGGGACCTGGCCCACAACCCAGGCATGTGCCCTGACTGGGAATCAAGCCTGTGACCTATTTGTTCGCAGGCCAGCTCTCAATCCACTGAGCTACACCAGCCAAGGCTGACTGGTGTCTTTAAAAACTTAGATATCCATTAATCCCATCTTCCTTGAATGTATCTTCTGTGCTTCAAGGAGGCTGAGAATTTATTTGGTTGAGAAGAAATAGAATGCCTTGGGCTAATTCTTATTCAGAACAATGGTATCTGGGGAAATGTTGATGGGAAAAAATTGCCCTTGGTTTCTGTTTGCTCCACAAGACAGGCAGCAGATGGGGTCTGTTGACATAGTGCTGACTGGAAGTAGCTTCTGCTGGGGTCCCTCTGCCAGCCCTGGGACTGAATGCTGCCCATTCTCCCATCTGCCAGAATGTCACAGAACACAGCAGCAGGGTCTGTTGGGAGGCAAGCCTGAGCTCAGGCAGGACAGCTTGTGGAAAAGCAAGGTGATGGTCGCAGCCAACTTGGTTGAAAACTGTTTTCCTATGACCCTTACTGGTAACAGTTTGGGCTGCTTATCTGCCAAAACTACTCAAGTCCACATGTCAGACTTGTTGCAGAGTCCGAAGCTTGTGCTGATAAAGCTGGCACAAAATAAATTCAGTTCTTGCATGACAACCATGTTACAGTCTCCCTGCACTCTTAGAATGCCCAGGCCTGGCCCTGGCTGTGTAGCTCAGTTGGTTAGAACATCGTCCCAGTCAATAAACCAAGGATGCGTGTTTGATCCTGAGTCAGGACACATACAAAAATCAACCAATGACTGCATAAATAAGTGGAACAACAAATTGATGTTTCTCCCCTTCTCCGTTTGGCTAAAATCAATCAATCCATCAAAGGATCAATAAAAAGAATACCGAGATGGGAAAGCTAGACCTCAAGTAGCCTTCCCCTCTATGCCGCTCCTGTCCCCGTAGCCCAGCTACACTCTCTCGCACTCTGCACTTGGCCTTGGCAGAAGATGGTGGCATTTCTGGTTGTGGCCGTGTTCTTCTAGACTGATTTTTAAAATGTAATTCCAAAAGGAGTATGTGATGTTTGTTAGCTTTTGGAACTTTTCCGAAACTTTAATATAATGACTTTTGTTGTACTTAGTTAAATGTCAGTTTAAGTAATTTGTATTATTAATGCTTCACCACTTTTAATAAAATTGTCTTACTGTTTATTCTTCCCCTAATTATAGGTATGGAACGGGCTGCTTCTTACTATGTAATACAGGCCCTAAGGTATGTTTTTCAAAATAAAAAATTGGTGAAAGTCTTCTTTAACTTCGTATAAATAATGCACCCAATGATGAATGCCACTAAATTTGAAGGGTTCTAATAAGAACCACTTGAGGTTCTTTGAATTTTATATATGTTTTTATTTTTTACATTTTTAAAAGAGATTTTTATTTATTTATTTTTAGAGAGGGGGAAGGGAGGAAGAAAGAGAGGGAGAGAAACATCGACCATTTGGGCACATGCGCCAACCGGGACCTGGCCCGAAACCCAGGCGTGTGCCCTGAGGGTTTGCAGGAGGAAGTCCAACCCACTGAGCCACACCGGTCAGGGCATGAATTTTATATATATATGTATATGTTTTTAATTGTGTTAGTGGGATTTGTACACTAGGACCTTGTACCTTGTTAGATTTTTTTGGACCTTGTTAGATTCTTAATGCAAATCTAATTTAGAGCAAGGATAAACTTTTTATGCTGTTTAACTGTATTGTTCCTGATACTATTAATTTTCCTAAGAGTTATTTTCAGAATTGTTATGTTTATTAAATTATTTTGTACCTAGGTTATTTTAGCTTTAAAAAAAAGTTGTCTTAAAAAAAAAAAAGGCTGTCTTTTTATTTTCCTGACTACTGAAGTCTTGTTCTCTTTCCTATAGTGCGTATTTTCTGAACATGGCCTTCTGAC